GTGTGGGGCGCCTGGGTGGCTCAGTCGGTTGAGCGTCCGACTCCTGCTCAGGTCATGATCTCGCCGTCCATGAGTTCAAGCCCCGCGTCGGGCTCTGTGCGGACAGCTCAGAGTCTGGAGCCTGTTTCAGATTCTGTGTCTCCCTCTGTCTCTGACCCTCCCCCGTTCATGCTCTGTCTCTCTTTGTCTCAAAAATAAATAAACGTTTAAAAAAATTAAATAAAAAAGAATAAAGTCTGGTGTTTTTCTCATGGTTAGACTGGGGTCATGGGTGTTTGGGAGGATGAGGATGAAGATGAAGTATGGTTCTCATCATATTAAGTGTATTTGCTATCAACTTGGCTTATCACTGATGATATTAACCTTGATCACCTGATCAAGGGAATGTTTGTCAGGTTTCTTCACTATAAATACACTTTTATCTCTTCTTTTACTTTCCATACTCTACTCTTTGTTTTTTTTTTTTTTTTTTAATTTTTTTTTCAACGTTTTTATTTATTTTTGGGACAGAGAGAGACAGAGCATGAACGGGGGAGGGGCAGAGAGAGAGGGAGACACAGAATCGGAAACAGGCTCCAGGCTCCGAGCCATCAGCCCAGAGCCATCAGCCCAGAGCCATCAGCCCAGAGCCTGACGCGGGGCTCGAACTCGCGGACCGCGAGATCGTGACCTGGCTGAAGTCGGACGCTTAACCGACTGCGCCACCCAGGCGCCCCTCCATACTCTACTCTTTGTAAACAAGTGACTAAGTGCAGCCCAAAATCAAGGGGAGGAGGGAGTTAAGCTTCACCTTCTTGAGGAGGAAAGTACCCACATAAACTATTTTGGAATTCTTTTGTATGGGAGATTTGTCTCTTTCCCTTTAACTTATTTTTTAAGTCATTTATTTATATCAGTATAGACTTATAGATATTAATTATATACTTTGAGTTATAATTCAATACTATGCTATTTATTTTGCTCTTAAATTGTTTAGTTTTAACTATTGGGACTTTTTTTTTTTTTTTTTTTTTTTTTTTGGTTGGCTCCTGTGTCCCATTATTTAGTTTTTGGATGTTTCCTTACTTTCTGACACTACAAGATGCTCCAGTATCATCTTGTATTTTCCCTCACCTAGTCTTAGAATTGGTCATTCTACAAAGGATCCCTGATTTCTTTTATTGGAGAATGGTATTAGAAACCAAGTTCTGAAATGTTTGTTGAAAATGTTTGTTGCCACTGGAGTATCATTGCTTCTAAGCCCTGGACAGAACTAAAAAAATATTTGTATGTGTACTAACCTGTGTATGTACACATTTGCATCATTATTGCTTTACCCATCTCTATCTATAGTAACCTAAAACAGTTCATACTGGGGGCTGAGTGGCTCAGTTGGTTAAGTGTCTGACTCTTGATTTTTGGCTCAGGTCATGATCTCATGGTTCATGAATTTGAGCACTGCATCAGGCTTCATGGTGACAGCGTGGAGCCTGCTTGGGATTCTGCCTGCCTCTCCCCTGCTTACTCTCTATCTCTCTCTCAAAAACAGAAAACAAAAAACAAACAAAACCCAGTTCATACTGATGTCTTCCAATCTAATCTAGCATGCAGTGTTCCTTCTTGCCTTCTCCTTTTACATCTCTACATTCTTCTTTTCCAGTAGTGAGAAGCCTCCTCCCACCATCAGCCATACATTTACTAATTTGTTCAATCCCAGCACGTGTGTAACAGTTTCAGAATCATTAGCTTTTACTCCAGTATGAAATGACAGTATTTATGTCGTTCCTTATTGCTTTAGTTTTACAGTGTCCAGTCAACGGTGTAAAAGTTATTAAAAGGTGATTTTCAAGAAAGTGCTTAAACTTTACTCTTAAAAAATGTTTTGAAATTATACAAAACATATACAACTACATTATTATTATGAAAGATTGAGAGAATGTAGAGGATAAGACACAAAACATGGCTAGGAGTTTGGTTTATATCTTTCTTAAATTTTTTTTTTAATGTTTATTCATTTTTGAGAGACAGAGCATGAGCGGGGAAGGGGCAGAGAGAGAGGGAGACACAGAATCAGGAAATAAACATGTCATGCTCTCTCTGTCAGCTGTAGGAGAGAATATTCCTTTCTTTTTCTAGCTTCTGGTGTTCATTGGTAATACCTGGCGTTTTTTGGTTGGTAGATGCAGCACTCCAGGCACTCGACCATCATGTTCCTACGGATCTTCGCAATATCTTCTCTCTGTGGGTGCCCCTGCTTACACAATGTTTCTCTCTCTTGTAAGGACACCACTCATATTGGATTGGGGCCCATTCGACTTGTGTATGACCTCATCTTAACTAATCTGCAATTAACATTTTTTTTTCAAATAAGGTCACATTCTGAGGTACTGGGGGGATAGAGCTTTACCACAACTTTTAGGGAGACACAATTCTACCTGTAGCATTGACTTCTCATTTTTTGCTATCAAAGCCATTAAAATGAGAATGATTGTGAGTACTTTTTTGTGTATGTGTGTGATAGTCTTCAGACAGAGTTTCAGAAGAGGAATTATCAGGTCAAATGGTGCATACCTTATATTTTTGTAACATTCTGCAAAATTGTCTTTACAAAAAGATTCATTCATTTGCCATCTTCCCAACTCTGTGTGAGAGAGCCCGTTCCACACATGCATATGAATACTTACTGTTATTGTTTAAAAAAAAATATTGCCTTTCTATTGGGACAAAACATGATCTTAATAAAGTGGCAGATACAATATTTCCCTTTTTGGCTCTAAAGTAGCTTTGATTGTGTTCTAAATCTTTCAAAGCCTGTTTCAACTTTTTTTCCTTCAGAACCCAGAGGGGCAAAAAAAAGCTAACTCTTGGGTCTCAGTATCAGAGAGACCCATTCTTCCTTCTGTCCTCTCATCTGTCATCTGGGCTCTGCTCCAATCTCAAATTCTTTATTTCTTTTCCCAACTAAAAACAAATAAAAGTGGAAAAAATCTCCTGGATACATCAATGGATGCAAAAAGGTGTTGGGGATGGGGTTGATAAATGCTATTTATGCTAGCAATTTCTGAGCTTCAGTTAAACTGGTTAAAAGTTCCATTAATCACCCCTTATTTCCTAGTTAGACTTTTGTAGACTCTTGCAAAAGTGACCATTGCCATCTAAGAACACATCCTCAGAGTTTGGGGAGGGTACAGTAGCAGTTTTTCCAGGGATAGTGACTCCCATGTATGATTTGCCATCTCTTGTGAGGCCTCCTGGTACCTGTACCTGTGCTTAATGCATAGAACTCCTGACACAGTTGATGAAACCATGAATAAGGGGAAATTTTTACATCATAGCCACCTACATCAACCTGCTTTCTCTCTCTACCAGGTGAAAGTCTCCTTCTATTTTGAAAGAGAAGCATCCCTATCTTCACCGTGGCAGGCCAAAACTCTACAAAGGTTAACAGATGTCCAGTAGATTTTCAGAGGATTGCCCTAGAGAACTGAGTATTAACCAGTATGTGAAAGAATTGCCTAAAGCCAGGAGAAGAACCCACCAAAAAATTAGGGGGAACAGTAACCAGGGCTCAGATAGGGTCAGGGATAGAATCTGCTCCCATCAGCTACAGTGGAAAACCTCAAAATCCACAGGGTAGTGGACAGAGGAGTTTAGTACTAGAGTAAACACAGCACTTGTCCCACCTAACAAATGTTGAAAACAAGACCCAAAAGGATTAAGTAAAACTCAGAAATGTTTATAGGAATACAAAAATATCCAGGAACCAAAAAGCTAACATTCACAATTTCAGGGATCAGTGAAAAATTACCATGCAAAGAAGCAGGCCGATATCATGCATAATGAGGAGAAAAATCAGTTAATTAAAACTGACCCAGAGTGGCACAGATATTACCACCAGCAGATAAGGACATTAAAATAGTTTTACTGCAATCTATGCCATAGTTTAAAAAGCTAAAGGGAAGATTAAATGTGTTGAGACATAAAAGATTAAAAAAAGCAAATCAAATTTCTAGAGATGAAAACTCTAACGTCCGAGAGAAAAAATACACTGGAGGAGGGGCACTCAGTCAGTTAAGTGTCTGGCTCTTGATTTTGGCTCAGACCATGATCTCACGGTTGTAGAACTGAGCCCCACATCAGGCTCTGTGCTGATGGTGCAGATCCTGCTTGGGATTCTCTCTCTCTTTCTCTCTCTCTCTGCCCCTACACCCCTGCCCCTCAAAATAAATAAATAAATAAATAAATAAATAAATAAATAAATAAAAACTTAAAAAAATACACTGGAGGAAATATACAGTACATATCACAGAAGAAAATATTAACAAACCTGCAGACTGAAGTAGAAACTATCCAAAATGAAACATAGAGAAAAACTTAAAAAAGGAACAGAGTATTAGTTATGAGAAAAAACTTCAAGAAACCTAATGTGCATGTAATTTAAGTCCCTGAAGGAATTTAGAAAAAATATTTGAAGAAATAATGGCTGAAAATTTCCAAATTTGATGAAGATCATAAACCTATAGATCCAAAAATTTCAATAATCTCTAATCACAAGAAACAGAAAATGGCATCATGGCACATAATAAATTGCTCAAAACCAGTGGTTTTGAAAAGAAAAATATGAAAGCAGCCAGGATGAAAAAACATGTTATGTATATAGAGGAACAAGAATAAGCATGACATCAGATTTCTTTTAAAAAAACAAGTCACGGGGCGCCTGGGTGGCGCAGTCGGTTAAGCGTCCGACTTCAGCCAGGTCACGATCTCGCGGTCCGGGAGTTCGAGCCCCGCGTCAGGCTCTGGGCTGATGGCTCAGAGCCTGGAGCCTGTTTCTGATTCTGTGTCTCCCTCTCTCTCTGCCCCTCCCCCGCTCATGCTCTGTCTCTCTCTGTCCCAAAAATAAATAAAAAACGTTGAATAAAAAAACAAGTCACATTTAAGAATACAGTGAAGCAACAACTTTAAGGTACTAGAACGAAAAGCTAGCATTCTATATCCAGCAAAATGTTTCTCATCAGCAGATTTGTGGTACGAGAAGTGCTAAAGGAAGTCTTTCAACAAGAAAATGATACCAGATAAAATTGTGCATCTACACAAAGGAATAAAGGCACAGGAAATGCCAATTGCATAGGTAAGTATATGACTTTTTTTCTGTTATTTAAATTTTTAAAAAGATAATTAACTAAACAAAATTAATAATAGTGTATGTGGGGATAATACATATGTAGGACCAAAATGTAGGACAAAAAGAGCAGAAGGGTTGCCTAGGGAGAAATGGAAATATACTCTTGTAAGGTTCTGATGCTATATGTGAAATGACATACTATCACTTGAAGATAGTGATAAGTTAAAATGAGTCCTTGGTGATGACCCTTAAGCCACCATTAAAATAATAAGACAAAGATTTATAGCTAATAAATTGGAAAAGGAGAAAAAAAAAGGAACCATAGAAAAGGATTAATCCAAAGGAAGTCTGAGAAAAGGAAGAGAGAGAGAACCAAGAACAGGTGGGACAAATAGAAAACAAATATCAAGATGGTAGATTTAGACCTGATGCTACCAATAATCACATTACATACAATTGGTTTAAGGTCATAATGGGACATTATAAAGGTGCAGGTATTGGTTTTCCACAAATATTCTTCCCCTTTCTCAAATAATAAAACTTCTGACTACTACCTGTGTACGTGATTGCCCAATAGAGACAACATTTCCCAGCCACCCTTGCAGCCAAATGTAGCCATATGACTACATCCTGGCCAAAGATCCAAAAACACAAGCGTTGTGTACATTTCTAAGATATGCCCCGAAAAGGAGTGGTCTTGTGCACTCTATTTTTTCCCCTTTTCCACAGTTTGGGAGATGGTGAGAGCCATCTTAGCCAACGTGGACCATCTTGTAATCGGATAAAGAAACGACATGTCAAGAATGGCAGGGTTACACTACCAACCCTTGGCTGTATACCTCTGAACCACTTCAAGAGAGAACAATAAACTTCTACCACATACAAGCTGCTTTCTTAATATGGTTTACCCCAAAGCATACTCTGAGATAAGGACTTGTTTGCCATTAATTTATTTGGGAAGTCATCCTAGGAAGCAAAGGCAAGAGAGAAAAGGCAATAAAGGGTGCACTGATGTGTGGGTAACTGCTGGAGGCACATCCTATGGGATATGCCCCAAGAAACTCACCTTAAAATAACCCAGCACTATTCAGGCATTCTGGGACATTTACTGACTAACTCCCTTTCCCACCGGATGGTGTTTCTTCCCTAGGGTATTTACTCTCCAGGGCTGTCACTTTTCCAGAAACTGCCTTCATGTGCCACTTCAGGTGAAGCTATCAGCAGTGTGGGGTAGCATCATGTCTGGGTAATAGAGTATTACTCTTGTGAGTATGTTTTCTCATGTAAAAGTAGCCCAGCTGTCACAATTAAAATGGAAAATTTCTGGGGCACCTGGGTGGCTCAGTCAGTTGAGTATCCAGCTTCGGCCCAGGTCATGATCTCATGGCTCATGGGTTTGAGCCCCACATCGGGCTCAGTGCTGACAACTCAGAGCCTGAAGCCTGTTTTGGATTCTGTGTCTGCCCCTCTGTCTCTGCCCCTCCCCTGCTTGCACTCTGTCACTCTCTCTCTCTCAAAAATAAATAAACATAAAAAATTTAAAAATATGGAAAATTTCTAATAAGAAAATTGTAATTATTTACTATTTTGCTCCAGAGATATTGGACTCAATCCTTTAAAAGTAGTGCAGAATCACTACTTTTTTGATATTGCTTTATGGAATAAGAATAAGCATTAAGCACTCAGATTTGTGTAATCAACTAACACTTCACAAATTTGGTGTAAAAGCATTAATTTATGGCCTTTGTAATTTTAGTAATTACTTATTTTCCATTATTTTATTAAAATTTTCAAGGTCTAGCTGGTCATTTCTTTTACTATTTATTATGGATATTCTGGCATCATTATTACCATCATTATGGTAATAATACCATAAATACTCAGCTTCTTTACTTGTTTGTCACATCAGAAATTCCCAGACACCATACCTTAACTATTTTTACTAGTAAGCATAGTATGTGTTTTATGTTGGGGTAATAAGTTATGTGCCCAGTACGTGGCCTCTGGTTTCTCATTTAATGCACAGTAGGTGTAAATTAATATATCACAGCACAGCTTTTCTGAGGGCTATAACTAGACTGTGCCTACAGCTGGTTTGCAGTAGAGAAAAGTCTCTTCTAAAAGAGCTACCACTTTGTGCTCATGTCCAAAATTTAAAGATTTCCTTCTTGGATGTGCCATGTGTTTTACAGATTCTACTTTGTAGAACTTTTAAAAATGGTCTTAGAGAAGCTCAAGAGTTTCAGGTAAGGAATTGTTTATTTTTACGTTGCTCGTAATTGGTTTCTCATTACTAAGGTTTGACAAATATGTACTATAGGGAGATACTAACATAAGATCTGATAGACATTTCAAAGTTATTTTGGGGGGCACGAAGAATGCTAATAGGTTTTAAAGTTATATTTTGTGAACGTATAAATGGAAATCAGGATATGATTCAAAAATGAATGACTACCATTTAATTTTTAAAAAACATTTCTTTAATGACTACATTTGGATGTACCATTCAAGCCAGTTTTAACACACCTAAGATTTTGGAAATGAGGTTATACAGTTATCCTTTCCATTAAAACAAAGGTTTCAGAATCCAGTACTGCTAGATTCCATCATTACTGCCCAAACCAGATATAAGATATCAGCAACTATATAAGTAAGGTGAAGACTTCCAATGACAAGAATAATTTGAAAGAATACATGATCAGAGTCTTCTGGCGTGACAGCTGATGGTGGATGAAATGGTACTTGTTTTCAGGGTGTGAGTTTTACAGTTATAGTATAATGCTGTAAGGTGAAGTTGCAAGAAAAATCATTATTATATACACTGTTCTTGGGAGTATCAGTCAGTGTAAACTTATATAGAGGGTAATTTGGTAATATTTCTCAAAAAACAAAATGTGCCTTTGGTCTAGCAATTCCGTTGCTAAGAACTTATCTTACTTGAACTAACATACAAAAATAATGTGTACATGGATGCCCATTTCTGCAGATTGTAATGCAAGAACTAGAAGGAACTTAAATATATGTCAACAGGAAATTAAGTAAGTTATAGAACAATCATGCGTGTGATGACGTTGAACTATTACAAAGAATGAAGTTTATTTTTATGTACCAATGTGGAAATTTTCCAAAATATATTTTTAAGGGAGAAAAGAATGCAGAAAAGCAGGCATATTATGTTTCTCACATGCAGAAAACAAATGTGTGTGTGTGTATTTGTATTCTTGTATATATCCTCCAATTTTCTATAATGAAACCCAAGAAACTATAATTTTATAGTTCATTCTGCAGAGTAAGACTTGAGTTTGGAGTACAGAGAGTTATTTATTTTTTGCTTCCTGCCTTCAGTCTATTTGAATTTATAAAAAGAAAGTCATGTGCGTATGTAGTTTTTATAATAAAAAATTACATTAAAAATAAAATTGAACTATTTTTAAAGACCTCCAACTTACTGATAATGAAACTATAGACAAAAATAATACCATAGGTTCATTGGAGGCGCCTGAGTGGCTCAGTCAGTTAAGTATCCGACTTCGGCTCAAGTCATGATCTCACGGTTCGTGAGTTCGAGCCCCGCGTCGTCGGGCTCTGGGCTGACAGCTCAGAGCCTGGAGCCCGCTTCACATTCTGTGTCTCCCTCTGTCTGTGCCTCTGCTGCTTGCACTCTGTCTCTTGCATTGTCTCAAAAATAAATAAACATTGAAAAAATTTTAAAAAACCCACATAGGTTCATTGATATTCTAATCCTAATTTTATTCAAACACACTACCTGCAAGGAATGACTTGGGTAAATTGATTTTTTCAGTGTTTAATATTTATTTTTGAGAGAGAGAGAGAGAGCACGAGCCAGGGAGGGGCACAGAGAGAGGGAGACACAGAGTCTGAAGCAGGATCTAGGCTCTGAGCTGACAGCACAGAACCCACTGGGGGACTCGAACCCACAAAGCGTGAGATCATGACCTGAGTGGAAGTAGGACACTTAAGCGACTGAGCCACCCAGGCGCCCTGGTAAATTGGTATTTGATGACTTTTAGTTGTCTCTGATTTTTCTTCTTTCATTTGGTTTGTTTGGTTTGTTTATTTACTTAATTCTGGTTTTTTGAGAGTAATCATTTTTCCTGATTTTTTTCTTATAAAATAATACTGGTTTACTAAAGAAGTCTATATAAGTTATAACCACATTTTGCAGGCATGGTTTAGTTTTCCAGTGTGTTAAGTTACAAAATAGCCACAGGCAAATTCCATTCTGGCAAATTCTCCATTATGAGTACTAAGGGATTGGAATGGGTTCTGGGGAGAGTTGCTACAGGATTTGCTAGCCATTGTCTCCATGGGGACCATGGGCTCCTGTCTTTACTGAATTTAGTCTCTGAAAACGGGGCCTGAATATGATGTAGAAAGTTCCTCTCCAAGAAGAGTCCTTGCTTTGTTGCTCAAGCTGCATGGGTGTTTTGAGAACCACTTCTAGTCTGGAAGGAGAGGCTTATTTCTTTTATGCAATTTTTATTAGTGAAGTATTTAAAAATACTTTTATTGTCATTTATATTTTGGAAAGTATTGAAAAATTGATTGCAAGTATCAATCCTTTTATCCATCAGCTAGTCAAACATTCATAATCACACCCTCCAGGGACAGTTGTTAATATTATATTACTATTGAGTATTTTTGTGCATTTGAAATACATAGTTGCATTAGATGTATCTATCACCTTATACTCTTTTTTATCTAAATTATATGCCTTTCCTCTCATTGTTGAAAACTGTTCCTAAACATAAATTTTCACAGATGCTTAATATTCCATTCTGAATTTACCATGTTTTGCTCCATTGGTCTAAATTTGGATATTTAAGTCAATTCCATTTAAAATTTTTATCCATTATAAAGAAGGCTGCTAATAAAACTTTCTATAATAATTCCCACCTATAGTTCTGATGATAATTTTATTTGTTTCTGTTTCCTTTTTAAATTTGTGGGCATATTTTGGAATAAGGCTGCTAAAGTTTTTTTTGTTTTTTTTTTTTTGTTTTTTTTTTCTTACTGCAAGTTTCACATATGTATGCAGGCAAACTAGCCATCTCAGATTAAGGGAAGAGTATTACAGAGATGTCAAGGGTCACTTGAACTGTTAGCATCTGTATTTATTTATCTGCATGCATCAAAATAATGAACAAAAAACACAGGAAAAAAATTGGACTAAAATGGTTGAAATGACCATAGCTCTCATGTACGGTCATCGGTTCATCATAGTTCTCATCAAGTGCTTTATAAACAAAATAAATTTAAGTATAATCTTGAGTTGCTGTTTAATAAGTTGTTTCACTTCAGATTTCATTTGAAGTGAGAGATTTCTTTCTTCAAATATATGAAGGAGCATTAAAAAGGGGATTTGACCGTCAAATGACAGCACACAGGGTTAGAGGAAAAGCCTAAGGAAGTCCTGTTTGTGTTATTTACCTCCTAAATCATGTAGAAAATCTGTTTTCTTTGAGGGGAATGGAGTTGTTACTCAATTCATGCACAGGTTGATTATCCCCTTTATATGGAAGCAGTCCTCACTTTGTACAGTAGTGTGGGGCAGTAAAAATAATTGTGCAAATGATCTTACAATCCATAGGGGGAAGAATCATGATTGTTCTGTGATCTTTAAATATTTCTTGTCAAAACATTAAAAACACCTTTACTGTTTACACATGTATATACATGGTTACATGTACATTAAGGACATGCGAAAATAGTAAAAGGAATGTTTGGTACACTGTTATATAAAACATATTAATGTGTTTTATTTGTAAAACTTAGGTGTAGTTTCAACAATGCTTGTCTTCTTGTTGCATGACTTACAAGAAGGAGTAAGAAACCTTTCTCTGTGTTGGCCAATTGTTGTGCTCATTTTCTTAAATGTTTATTTATTTTGAGAGAGAGAGAGAGAGAGAGAGAGAGCGAGCATGTGCATGAGCAGGGGAGGGGCAGAGAGAGAATCCCAAGCAAGGTTTGCACTGTCAGAGCAGAGCTGGACACGAGGCTTGAACCCATGACCCATGAGATCATGGCCTGAGCCAAAATCAAGAGTTGGAGGCTTAACTGACTGAGCCCCCCAGGCGCCCCTGTTATATTCCTTTTAAGTTTGGATCACCTCCCCACATTCCCAAATTCCCACTCCTGTGGTTGCAGTGTTGGAAAATGTATTTGAGAATTCCTTTTATGTGGAGCTTTTTTGCTGGATTCATTTCCTCTGGGACATATTTATGCTTTTTATCACAATCATTTTTCCCATTTACATTTGTCTTCATGAAGCAGAACTATACACTTCACTGCCTGTGCATGAGTTGAGTAACAGATGCTCAGTGATCGATCACCAACAAACTTTGAAAAGAAGTGACATGATTGCTTTCTAATCATGATGCATGTCTTTTAGTTATGTCGTGATTTGTGGACCGAAGACCTAGCAGAGAAGTTAAAACTTCATGTAATGGCACTGAATGTATGTGATAACTGAAAATTGAATTTTTGGAGGACGTGTGTTATTTAACTGATCCGTGGTAACTGAAATTTCTGTATATGCGAATCATGCAAAGTCGGGACTGCCTGTATTCTCTGCTTAAACTGGACTGTCATAATTCTGTCGGAGTTTCTGAGACTGGAGTTAAATGAATTAATATTCATCACAAAACAAAGTGAAAGTCTAATTATCTTGTTTAGTTTGCCGGTGCATGTTATTTTCTGACATGATTCCTGGGTCAACCATTTAAGAAAATTTTTTAACAGAGATACAGAGAAAGAGAGAGAGAGAGAGTGAGAATGAGTGGGAGAGGGGCAGATAGGAAGACACAAAATCTGAAGCAGGCTCCGGTTCTGAGCTGCCAGCGCGAAGCCTGTCGCAGGGCTCAAACTCATGAACGGCGGGATCATGACCTGAGCTGAAGTCAGACGCTTAACCGACTGAGTCACCCAGGTGACCCTGGGTCAAACATTTTTATTTGTTTGTGAACTATTACAATTCTCGTCTTCTGCATAATTGCTATTACTATTTTGTAAATGTTAAGTATGACCATGTAGCACTCAGAAAATTCTGAACAACATGGAGACATTTTTTTTTTTGAAAAAATTTTTTTTCAACGTTTATTTATTTTTGGGACAGAGAGAGACAGAGCATGAACGGGGTAGGAGCAGAGAGAGAGAGAGGGAGACACAGAATCGGAAACAGGCTCCAGGCTCTGAGCCATCAGCCCAGAGCCCCACGCGGGGCTCGAACTCCCGGACTGTGAGATCGTGACCTGGCTGAAGTCGGTCGCTTAACCGACTGCGCCACCCAGGCGCCCCAACACGGAGACATTTTTAATGCGTTTGCATTATACATATTAGTTAAAAGCAAGGTATAGCATTTTTAAAACCTTATTTTGAAATACAGTAAAACCTTGGATTGCGAGTAACTTGTTCTGTGGGTGTTCTGCAAGACAAGCAAATATTTCTAATAAATTTTAACTTGATAAACAAGTCATGTCTTATAAGTAGTATGTGATGCCTAATGTCACATGATCACGACTACCACAGTGGTTGTTGAAATTCACTTTGATACACAAGTTCTTTGGATTACAAGCATGTTTCCAGAACAAATTATGCTCCAAACCCAGGTTTTACAGTAATCACAGATTCATAGGAAATTTCAAAGGGGAGTAAGGGAGGTTCTGTGTACCTCTCACCCAGTTTTCCTCGGTGGTTACATCTTATGTAACTACAGCACAATATCAAGACCTGGAACACACACTGGCACAACGTATGTGTATAGTTCTGTCATTTTATCACCTGTATAGATTGGTGTACCACCCAGGCAAGATGCAGAGCTAGTCTATCACCACGAAGTGCTCCTTCATGCTACTCCTTCAGAGCCATACCCACCTCTTCCCCTCCTCCCACCCATCTTTCACACCTGGCGACCACTGGTCTGTACTTTTGTCCTTTCAGAACTGACCACAGTTTTATTTTTTTCATTGCTGAATAGTAATCTGTGTGTGTAATATACGTTTCAATTTTGTCCGTATATTAAACAATTATATAAATTGTTCCATATTATTTTATCTTTTTGCAATTCCCAGAGAACTCAAGATGATGTTTATGAGATTCATCCATCTTGATCATTGCTGATCTATTTTATAAATAGCCTATAGTTTTAAGCATCCAATTCGAGAATCTTTTAACTCTTAAAATCTATTTATACTATAGCCACTACTAGAATATTTTTATTGATTTATAGTATTTTATATTTAATTTTCGATTTACTTTTCACTTGTTTCTCTTTTTTGCTTTCTTTTTTATTTTTTTTTTTTATATTTAAAAAAAAATTTTTTTTTTCAACGTTTATTTATTTTTGGGACAGAGAGAGACAGAGCATGAACAGGGAAGGGGCAGAGAGAGAGGGAGACACAGAATCGGAAACAGGCTCCAGGCTCTGAGCCATCAGCCCAGAGCCCGACGCGGGGCTCGAACTCACGGACCGCGAGATCGTGACCTGGCTGAAGTCGGACGCTTAACCGACTGTGCCACCCAGGCGCCCCTCTCTTTTTTGCTTTCTTTTGGAAAGACTTGATTTATAATTTTATTTCTCTCATTTTATTTGAAGTAATACATTTTTTTCTGTTCTTCCAATGAATACCTCACCTTTTTAAATATGCATAGCTGTATCAAAAAATCTTTAAGTTAAGGCGTGCTGGGGGGCTCAATCAGTTAAGCATCTGACTTCGGCTCAGGTCACAATCTCACAGTTTGTGAGTTTGAGCCCTGCATTGGGCTCTGTGCTGACAGCCCAGAGCCTAGAGCCTGCTACAGATTCTGCGTCTCCCTCTCTCTCTGTGCCCCTACCCAGCTTGCACTGTTTCTCTCCTTTCTCTCTCTCTCAAAAATAAACATAATTAAAAAAAATCTTTAAGTTAGTACATATCTTTACATTTTTTGCAAACTTGTAGGATACCTTCCTTGGATCACGACCTCGAATTTTTATGTGAGTATTCTATTTCCATCACTGGTTTTTGCTAACTCCCACTCTGGTAGTCTTTACTGTCATTGCTTCCACTGATTTACATTTCAGTGTCTTTTTTCTCCATTCTTTCCTGAAATCTTCTGTAGTTTATTACTGTAATTGATTTATTCTTCTTACTGTGATTTATTTATTACTAAAATTTTTTGGTGTGATTTGCAAGTGACAAAAATGATCTAGTCTATGAGAATATATTTACATCATCTTTTCTCTCTTAATTTTTTTATTATAGGAATTTCAAACATATAGAAAAGTAACTAAAGAACTATGTACACCCATATGTCTATCACCTAGACTAAAAATTTTGTTAAGTTTTTGGCATATGTGCACTCTCTTCTATACACACTCATGTGCGTGCACACACACACACACACACACACGCACGTTAGCTAAACAACCTAAAAATAAATTCACAGATATCTTGATACTTGATCCCCAAATGCAAATAGCTTAGTATGCTTCTCTAAACTAAAGAGAGGTCTAATACATATAAAATGTCATTAACATATATAAAAATTTTAGCAACCATGCTCTAATATCAACTAGTACTGAGTATACAGATTTTGTCAATTTTTCCAAATTTTTCAATATCTTTTTTCAAACTGGGATTCAACCAAAATCTACACATTGCATTTATCTGTTATATCTCTTAAATCTTCTTAATCTAGCAAAGGGTCTATGCCTTCACTATTTTCATGACATTCATTTTTGAGAATGACCCACTCATTGAATTTGCTTGATTACTTCTTTATGGTGTCAATTAACTTATTCCTCTATTTTTTGTATTTCCTATTACCTGTTCATATATACCTTTGAGTGATATTGGAGCTGGTATAGAATTCAAGGCTGACAGTTATTTTTTGTTTGCTAACAGTCTAATTTATATTCCTTTGCAGACAATCTGTCTTCTCTCTGACTCCTTTTAATATTTTTTTCTGCTTTGGTATTCTATAGTTCCAGCAAGAGGTATTTTGGAGTAGATTTATATTTTTATTGTGCTTTGGGTTCTTTGTGGTTTTTAAATCAAATGGTTCTTGTCATTCATTAATCATAAAATATTAATCATAAAATTGAATATTATCAAACGTCATCTCATTGAATATGTTTTTTTTTTTGTTTTTGTTTTTCAAGTTTATTCATTTTGAGAGAGTGCAAGTGAGGGAGTGGCAGAGAAAGAGAAGGGGAGAGAGAGAATCCCAAGCAGGCTCTGCACTGTCAGTGCAGAGGCTCAAATTCAGGAACCCTGAGATCATGACCTGTGTGGAAGTTGGACACGTAACAGATTGAGCCAACCAGGCTCCACTCATTGCATATGTTATGACTTTAGTCTTCTCTCTTTCTGGAACTCCTATATCTTGTATGGTGGACATTTTCATTTTATTTTTCCATGTTTCATCTGTTCTCTTTCATATTTCCCCTTCCCTTACCTCTTTCACTCTGTTATCCCTGGGTAGTTTCTTCAGAACTATCCTCCAGTTCTCTAATCTAAATCTCAGCAACCCCATGTACTTTGTTATTCATTCATCCTCAATTTTTAAAATTTCAATCTCGAGTTCCAAAATTCTTCTTTTTATTTCTTTTTTTTTTTACAGAAGCTCTATTCCTTTTTTCCTATATCTTGATTTTTTAAATCATGTTCTGTTCTTTCCTTGTAGTTTTGGCTCTTTTTATTATTTCCTTAATAACTTAAAATATACTTATTTTATAGTTTATTTAACATATTTTCTAAAGATTTTAAGTAATTTCTACATTCAACATGGAGCTCAAAGTCACAACTCTGAAATCAAGATTCACATGCTTCACCAACTGAGCCCGCTATATGCCCCTCTCATTTTATTTATTTATTTATTTATTTATTTATTTATTTAATTTTATGTTTTATTTTTTTTCAGGTAAACAAATATGTTTATTTACAAACATATTGAGTTATGTTGAATTCAAGAATTTGATCCATTTTTCAAAGAAACTGCACCTCTTAAAATGCTCCTTTTCACATCTTTTTAATGGATTCATTGCAACATCCTTATTTCTTAAGCAGTCGGTGTCTTACTATTAAAAAAAAAAAAGGTGCAGCAAATCCAGATCCAAAGTATGCAGTCATCATAATTCATAACTGCCTCTTGTTTTCCACTGAAAATGGCACACTCTTCCCTGGGCCCTCCACATGGTGGCTCCTTGGGACCACAGAGGTTGTGAGACGCTCTCTCCCAACATAGTGCTGTTGGGACTTCTGCGAAAGGCGCAGAGACCCAAAATGGTAGAAATTCATCTTATTTGATTTTCTGAAGCTTTTGGGTTCTAATCCCCCCGTTGATTGTATTGCTTACTGTATTAGGCTTGGAATTTGGGGTTCAGGTCAGCTTTATTGATGATTGTGTGTATATTTGTCCAGGGCCAGAGAATAATGCTGAAGGAAAACAACCGTCAATCTAGATTTCTACAGTGTTGATGCAGAGTAGCCTTGCATTTTCCTCTATCAGGTTTTTCAAATTTAAGAGTTGGGAATACATCTTCATGCTGATATTTTCCCTATTCCATAAGATAACATAAACTGAATCTTCACTTTCTCAAATGGATTTTTACTTTTAGAATCCTGTTAGAGCCTTTGGAAGAGATGGTGTCTTTTTTTTTTTTTTTTTTTTTTGTCTCTGGAACTTTGGGGTGGAAAGGTTGTCTTACATTGAAGGGTCAGCCCCTTGGGGCCCTAACTTCAGGAAATGTCTTGTTTCCACCTCTTTATAGTATGTGCATTCAAGGCCACATCTCTTGCCCCATGTGGAAATTGAAACCTTTGCTTCTGGGCCCTAGGTCATACAACTGCACTACTTCTCTCTGACTGATTTCATTTGTCTCGTAAGTTGCTTGTTTGGGCTCCTCCCTGGCACCTAGATGTTTACGTTTCTTTCATTTGACCTCAGCTATGTATGTTTGTCTTTCTGTTACAGTTGTACTTAGCATTTTAATATTTTTAGTATCTTTAAATTTTATTTTATCTTAAGGCTACTATGTTCAAAGTCAGCCAAATATTAATTGTAAGTATATGGAAACATTGAGATTGGCGAAAATTTTATTTTTCACTGATACACTTGGTATTTCAGAATAAAACGTTTAAAGGGTGATACAAAACTTATTTTCATACATACTATAAACTGGGAAAATATGGGAATGTAAAATAAATTGGGAAAACAAGTGCCATGGATGTTAACACTCAGATGTTGAATTCACAAAAATAAAGGTCTTGCCATACTATTTCCAATGTTAAAGTGATTTAATTATATTTTCAATTGTAAATCAATCCAGTTTCTTATAAATAAGGGTTGGACTGGGAAGTGGGAGGTCATAATAGGGAGCAATATAGTTACAGGTAGCTTATCATAACTTTGAGTTTCAGTTATTTTTTCCTTTGACAATTAAGGCAATAGTTCATTTTTGATGCCAGAGATGTATGTCTAGTGGAAAGACATTCCAGGGGAGATACAGGTACATGAAGAAAAAGCAAGAGCACAGTGCATGTAAACAATATCATTTCCAAAGAAACATGAGTTCAGAATAAAGTCTCTTCCTCAAATGGAACAATATTTCAACCTCTGTCATTACACAATAAGATGGGTCAAGAGGGATAACAAATGACCCAATCTTTTTAAAAATCTTGTTGAGGGGTGCATGGCTGGCTCAGTTGGTGAACATCTGACTCTTGATCTTGGGGTTGTGAGTTCGAGCCACACACTGAGTGTAGAGATTACTTAACAAAATTTTTTCTTTAAGGTTTATTTATTTTTCAGAGAGAGAGAGAGAGCAAGTGAGTGAGTGGGGTTGGGTAGAGAGATAGGGAGGCACATAATCCGAAGCAGCCTCTGTGCTCTGAGTGGTCAGCAAAGAGCCTAACATGGGACTCAACCTCTCAAACCATAAGATCATGACCGGAGCCGAAGTCAGGCGCTTAATTGACTGAACCATCCAGGTGCCCCATAAAAAAAATAAAATCTTAAAAAAAAAAAAAAAAGGATCTTGTTGAAGAAAAAGTTAGACATTTTTCAAATGAAAATATTTATACTGAAAAAAGACCTTGAATTGTGTAGCTAAGAGTTTAACATCTATTTTAAAATTTTTGTTTTAAAGTAAACTCTATCTCCGACATGGGGCTAGAACTCATGACCCCAAGATCAAGAGTCTCATGCTCAGACTGACTGAGCTAGCCAGGTGCCCCAAAATGAGAGTAATTTTATTTATTTAATATTGTTTTTTAAGTAAACTTTACAACCCACATGGGGCTCAAATTCATGACCCCGATGGGGTGACTGGGTGGCTCAATTGATTAAGCCTCCGACTGGCTCAGGTCATGATCTCATGGTCCATGAGTTTGAGCCCCATGTCCAGCTCTGTGCTGACAGCTCAGAGCCTGGAGCCTGGTTCAGATTCTGTCTCCCTCCCTCTCTCTCTGCCCCTCCCCTGTTTTTTCTCTCTCTCTCTCTCTCAAAGATAAATAAAATATTTTTTAAAATTTTTAAAAAATTAATGACCCTGAGATCAAGAGTCACATGCTCTACTGACTGAGCCACCCAGGCGCCCTTAATGGCATCTAATTAATTAATTAATTAATTTTCAACAGCATCTATTTTAAAATTAGAATCACTCTGCATTCGAGCTCTGCTACTACCTCTGTCGCTTTTGGGAAAATAACATAAATTCTCTCTCAGTTTACTTATCTATAAAAAGACAGTAATAATAAACTCCCATGTTGCTACTGGGAATTAAAATGGCACGCTCATAAAAAAAATAAAGTGACGTATTCATAAAATACCCTGTGTACAACACTTCGCACAGTGCCTGCATGCAATGGTCACTAACTCAATAGCTACTACTGTGAAATCAGCACAGAGATTTCTGAATCACTAGAGGTGAAAAAGGCTCCAGGAGACTAGAAATGTGAGAAGCTTATCTCTTAACTAGCTAGCTCAAATTCTGGGATTTCTTAGGCACAACAAATAGAAAGATATTATTCTTATAGCTTGAAAATATTGTGGTGGGAATTTTCTTATTATGAGAATTGCAATTTACAGAAAACTAAGCCTTATTTGAGAAGGAAAGAGAAATACTGCTTTTTGTGAATAAGCCTCTATGGGTGCTCTATGTTAATGTGTTTGTTCTGGTAGAAATACTTTTATTGTTACCTACTTGGGATAAAGATTGTAAAGGGAAAGTTTTCAGGCAGCCATAAATCTTTTTTTCCCTCGGGTCAAAGAGTTTCAATAATTTTTGAAAAAGTTTCGATAATTTTTGTAATGATTAGAAAGCATACTGCCTATGAGTAAAGAAGTCTATTCTTTGCTTTTAATTTGCCTACCCATTTTTCTAAGCAAATTTGTTTAGGGAAAAAAAAGTCTGTTCTAGACTTGGAAAAAAACTTATAACTATCTTACTCTTTTGAAAAGGCAGTGGTGACATTGAGTCACCTGAGCTCCATCTCTGGGCAACAGTGACAAATGGTCACTTGCAGTGCAAAGATCAAGTGCTGAGAGTGTGAGGTCAGCTGCTTTACACGACACCTAATGGGACTGTCATTTCTCAGGATCCCCAGCCAAAGGCAGGGTGGCGACATGGTGTACCCATCACTAAGGTGCCATGTCTGGCATCTAAATGGAGCTCAGTAATTCCAGTGGAGCCAAGTTATTAGAGATCTAATTGCCATTGTCTAATAAATTCTTTTGAGGTCTTTGTGTTGGTTCACTTAAATATTCAATGTATCTGGCTTGAAGCAGTTATTAAAAATGTAATTGTTTTGTAAATTTTTATCTTTCAATTCCAAAACACCCTCATGAATTAATAAACAGTGTTCAGATAAAATAAGAATATTCATCAATAATGCAAGATTTTCTGTGTCATTGGGGGGTGTAACCTTACTACGCTGTTGATCAGAAACTCTGGGGAAATAACATATCTCTTGTAATACACTTCCATCTTGGATATTCTAGATCATGTTTAGCTGGAGAGTTTTTACTCTGAATGAAAATGTTTTTATTCATATCTTATTACCAGTAGAGTTTATTTGAACTCATCATCATCCTAAGTTTATTTTCAGTTATTACTTTCTGGCTTGCCTCTCCAAAGCTAGCTATGAATACACAGTGGACTTTAAAATAGCAAGGCTATTTTGTTTTAAACTGAGCAATGATAGCCTTGTTCCCAGCTAGGGAAATAGAACATAAAGCTTCCCAAGGCATTTACATGTTTCCCAAAAGACTGACCCATAGTCAACAAATGGGGAAATATAAAAACTTCTCCAAAGGGATGGGTGCTTCCTTAAGTGAACTGATTGACAGCTCTGGGCTTGCCCAGTGACACTGTCATCTGAGGGACCCTACACTTTTTTTCCCAGGTTTTCTGAAGTCTCTCGGGTATCATAAGGGGACAGACCCCTGTGGTACTGCCAGGGCCCTCTCTGTCAGAGGGCTAAGACCTGGACTAATTCATTGCAGTGCAGTTTAATTAAACTGCACCAGAGTTGTTTCCCTGGTAAAATAAGTGTGGGAAGAGAATGTGTGTCAAAAGGGACATGCCCCTTACTGTGTGTGCTTTATTGTTACACCGCAGCTAATATATTGTGGGAATTCCCATGGAGTCAATGATAAACTGTATTATCGAGCTCCATAAAATAGGCATTCTACTAGTGCAGGTTACTGTAGCTCACAATTCTATTAATCCTTCTAATTTATTATATTATAGCTGTATGTGAGGTCTCATAAATTTATTATACCCCTTTCATCTAAAAAAACCCCACCATGCTTGTTTCTCCTCTCAAATAAAACCTTTTATTATTTGCTGTGTCTGTCTCTAAAAATGTAATAGCCCCTTGTAAGAAAATATAATTACTGGCTGAGAAATGTAAACTGCATTTGACATGTCTTCTACTCTAAAATTAAAAAATTCTATTAAACCTTGCTATATGTGTACAAATACTGGTACATGAAGACCCATCAGCTTTTTGTTTCCAGTTTTCTGGCAACAACTTCCTATAAATGACATCTTTAGTATTTTTACTGTTTTCATCATTTTGTTTATGATAAAGGAATTTACTTATAGTATTCTCTCCTCTTTATCATTTACACCAGAAGTCAGCAGAAGGGCAGACGTAACATCTGCTTTGTTCACGTCTATATCTCCAATGCCAAGTACGATGCCTGGCATATATTAGAGGCTCAATAAATAGATGTTAAATAAATGAAGAGGTGAATGAAATAGAAAATTCTGTGAGTGTCTGTGCAAATCTTCATAGGATTTTTACCTATATATTCATTAACATGTTTACTAATAACAGCTTATTTTTTATCAGTTGCTATTGCACAAAGATTTGGCTTACTGCCTAAAAGGATATCTAAAATATGCAGGAAAAATATGCAGGCATAAGTTTATTAAGTTATGAAATTTCAGTTGCTACTTTCAGATTACATTTTCACTTAGTTTTAGAAGCCTTGATGCCTCAAAATAAGCTACACCTTGTACACTGAAAGTAAGCTAGAGATTCCATGGGCTGGCCCTCGTGTGATATGAAGAAATGTAAATGGAGCGACACTTCATATCCATTGCTGATCAGATTCATACCTGTCCTGTTTGTAAATGAGATGAGATGAGCTTAGAAATATTTTAATAAATAATTGAATACATATTTGAATAAATAAATGTTTATTTATTGAGAGAGAGAGAGAGAGAGAGAGAATGAGTGGGGAGGGGCAGAGAGAGAGGGAGAAAGAGAAAGAGAGAGAGAGAAAGAGAGAGAATCCCAAGTAGGCTCCATGGCCAGGGATGGGCCTGGCACAGGTCATGATCTCATGACTGTGAGATCATGACCTGAGCCAAAATCAAGGGTAGGATGCTTATCTGACTGAACCACCCAGGCACCCCAGAAATATTTGAATTTCAATCAGGCACCTTCATTTTGTTATCCTGAAGTAAAAACCTAAGTGATGATGGACACAGGACTGGACATAGAATAGATCTCTATCTACTCTAAGGTACTATCTCAGATCCCAGGTGAACAGTGAAAATTACCAAAAGTCTTTTCAGCAACTCTTGCTTAGAGCAATGTGTATGAAGGGCAGTGATGGATAGTTTCAGTACAGGTGGTCAGACATCAGAAAAGGAATGAAGACAATTGGTATTGTGAGCATTTTATTAGAAACTCAAATCAAGCTTGGAAATGGAATTGCTGTTTCATTGAAAAACATTTCTGTTATGACACACTTTGGTAACAATAATGAGTTTGGCTAATGTTCTAATGGCTAAATTCCCCATGTTTCTGTTTTGCAAATGAAAACAAATCTTCCATTTGATATCATTGTTTTTCCCATCATAAGAAGTAAAAAAAAAAGTCTTAGAACAAATGTAATAAATATGCTCTGAACGGATAACCTGGGTGGTCCCAGTGACACCTCTTAAGTCACCATGGTCCTGGATGCCAGGGCAAATGTATAGGCAGTATAGGCAGTATCTTGTCATGACTGAGATCAAACTTGTTTAGTGCTTACTGAGAGTTATGTGGCATAGTGGAAGGGCAGGATTTTTAGAATGTCATCACTTCTGGATTTGAATCTTATTAGTTCTACCACTTAATAACTGCACATGCAAGAAAATTACTCAGTCTGTCTAAGCCTTCATAATAGAATTTTAATGAAAATTATACTCGATAGCGTATGCCATGTGCTTAGTGTATTTCCCTGCACATAGTACCTTCTCAATAAGTAATCATAATTATTCACCATTATTATCTTTGCCCCCAAGATAGGGATTGTAAAGGATAGTATGGCAAATCTTCCCGCAAAGATTTCTATAGAAAAGGTTTCTTACTATTGGATTATTAATTACCTTTTCACTTGAATTTACATACTACATCTCTAAAGAGCAATGAATTAAATTGTAGATTATAAGGGGAGCAACCCTGCTATTAATCTACTCTGAGGTTTTGACGAGCTTCACTCTTCACTTGCTGTACTTTCAAAATAGACCAACTACTTCTCCATAAAGCACATGAGCGGTAGCTGTTTAGGTCATTACTTCATTTTTTTTCTTCTTCTTCTTTTTTTTTTTTTTTTTAAGTAGCTGCCACTTGAACTCATGACCCTGAAATCGAGACCTGAGCTGAGATGGAGAGTCAGACTCTTAACCAACTGAGGCACCCAGGCGCCCCTCCACTTTTAATTTGCGTATATATATGTTTAGATACTGCACTAAGGAAAATGTACTCTACTTATTCTCAAACTACAGAATTAATGTTCTCAGGGATATAAAACTGAGCTTCTAGAACTTTACACCACTGTATCAAGTGTGGTACCTGCATTATTTTATTGAATCTTTACAATAAATCTAAGAGGAGGGTACAGTTATTATCTCTGACGGATGGATTAGGACACTGAAGGTTAGAAAAGCTGTGTAACTTGCTCTAGATCATACGTGTGGCAAATGGTAAAGCAGGGATTGAAGAGGTAGTAATCACTCCAAGTCTGTGTTTCTGACTCTGCCTTGTAGTATCTGCCTCCTGCATCCCACCCCCACGCAGGCTCTTTCTATTTCACTGGACAGTATCTAGTCAATACAAGCTTCTGGTCAACTCATGGAAGATATAAAGCTTAGAAGAGGTTGATCAGCCTTGGGAATAGCATGGGGGAGGGGGAGTCAAATTCTTTAGAACCACTGTCTTAATGTTTACTTGAAGATGAGATTTCTTACTCTTGGAAGCACATGCACATTTAAGTTCTTGCTGTCGTATAGCCTGCTGTAAATCAAATATTGAACATGAGTGATTTCTTATACATTTTGAAGGGATGCTTTTGCTCTTTAAAAAAAAACAAAGTGGAGTCTAATAATACGTAAATAAAATAAATAAGAAAACACATTGATGACTTTATAGACTCCTTTTAATAAAAAAATAAAAAATGACATTTAATCTCTATAATCTGAAAGCATAGATGATTTCTGTATGGACAAAACTAACGTAGTCTTTATAAAATAGTGTTTTCAATTCTGGTACAAAAAATACGATCAATATGATAAAGATGTGAAATTAGAAGTTTTTTCTAATGCTGTTTTTCATTTTGATGATAGAAAAATAGAATTAGTATAAATATATATTTAAGGATTTTAACTCAGTAACAATGCAAATTACCATTCTGGTTGTTTAGAAATGTCAGTAAGAGCTCAATTGTTCCTGCACTGATATAAAAGAGCATTTTTTGACAGTGATTGACATCAGCAATTTGCATACTGTGTCACTGAGAAGTGAGCAAAACTTTTTTCCTATTTCAGTACATATTTTATGAAGTTTAGTAGATTTATATAAGGTATTATGTGGAGTAATTTGAGTTTTAAAAATTTATTGCGTACTAGAGTAGATGCTATTGGAATTAGTATATTGAAGATAGTTTGCTAAAGTAATTTCAAAATATGGCATTTTCCTAGCTTTGAAGTGAAATGAGATTGATAAATATCAAATTAGTATTTTTACTTTAATCTTAAAATTCGTTTCTATGTACCATTAAGGTATAACATTTGGTATGGGAGAGCTTTAAATCATATGAATCGTTACAAGGGAGAAATCATGCTATGGCATGGTAAAATAGCACACTGCAGAAAGACCAATAATTCTTAGAAATGAAAGAGACATTGTTTTAGCACTATTTCTTTATTTGCGAAAATAACTATTTTGCTTTCAATACATAATAAGTCAACTTAAAGGCAATCCCTACACTTTGCCAATTCAAAGAGAGCCACCTCATTTGGTACCTGCCGTTCTGTTATTTTATATCTGAGCTAGCCTTTGACTTGTTGTATGTTGCTCTGTTCTTAGGTGGCATCACAGTTGTAAGTTAGGTGCCTGCATTCTTAGGACTTTTCATGTGATTTATGTGAAACCTGTGTACAATCTCTTGCCTTCTTCTGGTACGTAACCCAGAGTAAGAGTGAGCATCTGGAGATAGAAGGCCCGGTAGAAGAACAGCCTGACCTTTGACCTGCTTGTGACATACTGTATAAAGATTTTGGGAAATGCTGTCTAGGATAATCCATCATCGAGCAATTTAGTATAACCTTGCTGACCCTGTTCTCCCAGCACAAGTGTAATCCTGGTGCAGCCAGTGTTTGAAAACATTTGTATTTACTGAATAAAGACATGTAGCCCACAGAGCAATAAAAACACAAAATGTGAGTCTGCCAAAGAAAGTAAGGAGTAGATATGTGAAAACGCTGCTTCGTGTAAAAGCTGCTCTGTAGCTGTTGAAAAGTCTACAGACAACAGACACTGGGAACAACTTTTCCACGCCGATGAATGAGGCCTTGCAAGTGAGAACAAATGCTATTTTTCTCTTGATTGTCAGCACAAGTGTGACACTCATTTACATCTCTAAATGTACTTTGTAGTTGCAATAACTTCCTATGTTGATGTGAAAGATATTCAGAACAAATTAAAAAACATGAATGTAGGTTGAATTAAGTGAAAGAGAGAAACAAGAACCAGGCCAGGAATAGAAACTTTTGCCATGTGAAAGGTAAACAGTGAGAAGAGGTGGCTCTAACTAAGATCCCTGGGAAAAAGGCACAGGATTTACATGACCTGAGGAAAAACCAGAGTATTCAATTTCGGCTGCCTTAGTTCAACCGGCCTTCAAATCTCACCTGATTGACTGAAACTGCTTTCATTTGTATTTGGCATCCAGCTTGACTGCCCTCCAAATAATACCTCAACCTGCAGCAGAATGCATCTTTCTAAAGGCCTACTTCTCAGCTTTGAAATCAAAGCAAAACAAAAACTAGCAAAACATAAACAAAAACTCTTCAGTGCTTCACCGTTAGCCTGTCTGCTGCTGTCCCACCTCATGGTTTTCCGTGATCTTACGGCTACAGCCTCGCTTTCTCTATTGCTACCTCATGCTCCAGCCATATTAAACTCGTAATTCTCCAAAAATGCCCTCTTTCTCTTTCACACCCAAATCTTGCCTTCTCTCAGGCTGGACCTTTTATCCCACCTTCTTATCCTTCAGGTCTTGGCCTCATACTTCACTTTCCTAAAAGGCCTCGCCTCTTCCCTCCCCCCTCCCTCCCCCCCCCCCCCGACCCCCCACGCCCCCCACGCCCATTGGGTTAGATACCTTATGTGTACTTCCAGTGTTTGTGTGGGTAGTATTGTCTCTACTTTACCGAAGAGGAAATGGAAAACCCGAGAGCCTTACTTGCCTGCAGAGTTTTACACGCCTGCAAAATGTCAGGACCAGACTTTAAATTCAAGACTTCTGGCTTCCATCTAGAGCCCATTTCTTTAATCCACAGCGACTTCTCATATGCTTCACTTTACCTGGTTAAATATGGGTTTAGGTAGAATTGTTTTCAGTTCCCTGAAAGGTGTATGGGGCTTCATCCCTCTATTTTTTTTACACATTTCTTTACACATTTCCCACCCATAGGTTAGCTTTGTGTTGGTGTCCACCCAGGAAATCTTACTTATTTGTCAAGACCCAGTTGCAGATTGTGAAGCATTATTCTTACATCCACCCTCTTCTTCAGGCTTACTGTGTTACTTTGTCCTCACCATTGTTGTGGGGCTTCAGGATTTCAACTGAACTGGGCTATTATATGTTTATCTCTCCTGTTAGACAGTGAGTTTTTTGTGGCAAAGATTTACTTCAGTCATTTCTATTTCTGCTAGCACCCAGTACACTGCCCAATACATGGCAGATTCAGTATTTTAAATTGCGTCATAGGGGGGCTCCTGGGTGGCTGAATCAGTTAAATGTCGGACTTTGGCTCAGGTCATGATCTCATGTTTCACAGGTTTGAGCCCTGCATCGGGCTCTGTGCTGACAGCTCAGAGCCTGGAGCCTGCTTTGGGTTCTGTGTCTCCCTCTCTGTCTGCCCTTCCCCTACTTGCATTCTGTCTCTGTCTCTCTCCCAAAAATAAAAATTAAAAAATATAAATTGCATCATGGAAGCACATGTTGATGACACCTGCATGTTCGCTTCTCATGCTTTCTCTTCAAGACATCATGTAAATCACCCAGCTTATAATTGTAGACTGTCGTTGGGTTGTAAGGTATGACTTCTCTTTGCCTAAAACAGGACCTTACAAGACTCGTCATAGCTTCCAGTTCCAAGACCTTGTCCCAGGAACTAGGTTTTTACACAGGTTCTCTCTGGTGGGTAGGGGTTTGATTACTGATATTTCTGTCTTCATACATTGATAAAATGAGATTTCAGGGATGAATAGAGGTCTCTCCTGTCTCTATTACACACACACACACACACACACACACACACACACACACACACATTCACTGACATAGTCTCTCCAAACTCTTCTTCAGTCTGGGGAAATAAGAGCTGTATGACTAGAGGAAGAAGGTAGAGAATGAGGAAGAGCCTTTTAAGTGTCTTTACAGGGTAGGACAAGTTAACCAGAGGAACCAAGTTTTTTTTGCGACTGAGCAACGGGATATAAGAATTTTCCTTTCTCCTGTCTGCTCTTCCCAATTTCCCATCTCTGTTTTTGAGATTGCCCTCCAGTTAGGCAATGGAGTCAGAGGGAGCTGCACTGGTGGAGAAACCACTGCAGCAGCTCTAGTGTCACATGAGGAACATTTTCTCTCTGGACACAGATGCACACGGCTGCTCTCAATCCATGCTTTGCAATGTGCTTTAGTGGCTTCCTTGTTGCACTAGTTTAAAATCAAGTTGTCATTGTGTATGATGACATGAAAACGTTATGGCTTTGAGTCTTAAGTAATCACAAAATTTCCACTGAAGTATTCTTTCAAATCTCCCTTTCCTGTTTTTTTCTTTATCTGTTCACTATTGCCAGTGGAGAATAACACAATAAATCTTTGACGTTTCCTTGGAATGTGTTGGAATGTGTAGAAATGACATGAATTAGGAGCCAGAGAATCTTCAGTTAGAATCCTTCCTCCACCTTTTATAAGTGATGTACCCTTGGATAAAGTGCATCCTCATTCTGAAGCAGTTTTCTTATCTGTAAAATGGACTTAATACCATCCTCCTCACAGCTGTGGATGAAAAGAAGCAAAGACGACAGTGTTGATTTCTTGTGGGTCTAGTTCAACAAGTGCTCTTTCTTTCTTTTCCTTTCTCCTCTTTCTTCTCTATCTCTTGATTCAATTGTTAATGGGTGGTGCAAGTCCCAAACTATAGGGCATAAAGGATGGGAGAAATACGAGGTACCTACATAATAGCTCTATTGCTCTCTAGGAGTGGGTAGCAGATATGGAGAATGGTGGGGAATATGTTTTGACATTCTTTGTAAAGCTCATCATTATAAACTTTATAACGAGATTGGTTTTTTTAATTAAATTTTTTTTTATAGTTTGTGAAACTTCAGTTATAGTTCACTTTGTCCTTTGGAAATCACTAACCCAAAGAGAGGCATCTGAATTCCTTTTTAGACCCTAAATCAGTGTTTCTTAACCTTAGCTGATTAGCACATTAGGATCACTTGGACTAGTTGCAACAGTTACTTTAAAAAATTTTTTAATGTTTATTTATGTTTTTGAGAGAAAGAGACAGAGCTCGAGTGAGGGAGGGGCACAGAGAGAGGGAGACACAGAATCTGAAGCAGGCTTCAGGCTCTGAGCTGTCGGCACAGAGTCCGACATGCAGCTCGAACCCATGAACCATGAGATCATGACCTAAGCAGACATTGGATACTTAACTGACTGAGCCACCCAGGCGTCCCTAACAATTACTTTTTAAATAATAAAAATATTTTAAAGCTTCTGAAAACATACAGATTTGGGGGTCCCAATCTGGATTTACTAAGTTACAATCTCTGGGGATGAGGCTTTGGCATCAATATTAGAACAAAATTCTCTCAGTTATTGCAGTGATGGTTACAAACCTTGGCCTAAATCATAATGTCACTGTAATGTTCATGCATGTTTGATTGGCGTCATAAAATATGATAATAGTTGTGTAAAGGGACTTTTTTTTAAAAAGAACATAAACCAGGGGGAAATTAAATTGACAGAATGTAGAAAGGATAAATATTATTTAAAAACATCATCTATGACGATGACAAAATAGGATTTCCAAAGCTCCCAAAATACTATAAACATGATCCATTCCAAAGGGAAGAGGAACCATTCTCTTTCTTGTGAACCCAGGTGGAGTGGCATTGGGAGGTTGCTGATTAGATTCAGTGAAGGGTTGCAATGCGCATTTTCTCTTTTAATTAGGGAAATCAATAATAGAATCTAAATTTCTGAGAATAAGAAACTAAAAATAAAAACAAGATATGCTATATTTGAGGAAGCAGCTAAAGGAGTGTACTTATTGGTCTAAATTGAAATATTAACCCCTTGGAAACTCCTGCCATCTATTTAGTCAGAAATGGAAAAGAGCTATCAGATAACAGAGCCTATCCTCCTGAGAGCCTCCTGGATTGTGTCTCGTGCCCAGATAGAGGATAACGCTCTCCTCCCAGCCTAGAGGCCATCGTCCTAAGTACTCCCTTGGCAGGCATCCTGGAAAATTGTAGTGTTGGAAGGGCTAAGTTACTCTTCTCAGACATCTCTATTGGACATGATAAAGAAAAAAAAAAAAAACTCAAAGCACAAACTGTATACAATCCAATGTACATTTTAAAGGATGTACTAGTATTTACATAGTGGGTCAGATTTTCATTCTGTGAGATTCAAAAGAAGAAAAGAACTCTTTGAGTTGAGAATCTAGCTTATTGTTTTTAGTGATGGCGTTTAGAGACAAGTGATCCAACAGCCACTACTTTTGAAGATCGTGATTTTATAAGCAATGGAAGTTTCAAGTGTCGGTAGCCCATGTTGCACTGGTTTAAGGTGATTGTTGATAGTTATTTCAAAGTCCTCTAACACTGTTATTTGTAGAAAATAAATCTGATATAATAAGACTTTGATAAAAACAGAGAACTTCTTAGTTGACATCTATTGTCAATGCATTGACAATAAAAGGCAAAACAAAAAGAACTCAGCCTTTTTCTGGGACTCAGCTGACTGACATATCTTCAAAGTGAGGCTTGCCAAATAAATATGATTATTAGGTTACTGCATTTCCCCAAAGAACAAGTCTAAATCGTCTCAATGATAAAAGTCTTTGATATGGGGGCACCTGGGTGGCTCAATCGGTTAAGCATCTGACTTCGGCTCGTGGGTTTGAACCCTGATTCGGGCTTTGTGCTGACAGCTCAGAGCCTGGAGCCTGCTTCAGATTCCGTGTCTCCTTCTCTCACTACCCCTCCCCCGCTTGCACTCTGTTTCTGTCTCTCATAAATAAATAAATGTTAAAAAAAATTTTGGAAAAAAGTCTTGATAGATCACACACTTTTATTAACTTATTTTGGATTAGTTTAACTTTATTTTCTTTTTTTACATAGAAACCTCATCATGAATACCAATTATTAAAAAAAGCATTTCCTTACAGGCTTATTTAATTTTATTTTATTTTGCCAAACAGGTATAGTTGGGAAGATTTCAATAATCTTGGGATTGTACAAAATAATTTGTACAAAATTTCTTGTACAAAATAAATTATATCCTTTCTACAACTAGTTGTTCCTGAAACAAAGTTTATACATTTTTGTTTTAGAAAGATGCTGACCCTCAGTTAAAATTTTATTTATAGAAATGTAAATTTAAAAATCTCCCTGTAAGACATTTTCAATGCTTAAAAGTTTTGATAACTCTTAATCTTTCTCTCCTTCACTCTTGCTCACTATATAACTTAGGTTTGATGGCCAAATGCTCTTGTCACCTCAAAGGGGCTTGACTGCCGCTCGTTCTTGAGGGCTCTATTGGTTCTACTGAGCCATGACTGAGAGGTCATTTGTCATTTGGTAAGGACTCTGCTGTCCTCCCTAGAGAGAGAGAGAGAGGCATCTGTCCTGAAGAGTGAGTTCCTTGCCTGTCAGCCCTGTCAGAATTCAGAAATACAGTGGCTGTAACTTCTGTTCCAGAGAGGATACCTGGAAAAGAGTGTCACACACAATTAGCATTGGATCAAGTTTCCTTGTCACAGCCCTGGATTTTAGTGTGGGTGAAGGTTGTCGCTGCATAGCCAGAATCTGGGCAATTTAGAGCCCTCCTCTGAAGGAAAATACTTCAATTTATAAAAGATAGGTGGGGCGCCCGGGTGGCTCAGTCTATTAAGCGTCTGGCTCAGGTCATGATCTCCTGGTTTGTGAGATTGAGCCCCGCATTGGGTTCACTGCTGTCAGTGCAGAGCCCGCTTGGGATCCTCTGTCACCGCCCCCCTCATCCTCTCCTGCTTACATGTGCACACTTTCTCTCAAAAATAAATAAACATTAAACAAGTGTATGGTCATAAATTCCTACTGAAATGGTGATTAGTTTTATTAGATATATTTTTCTATAATTCATAAATTTGGTACAGCATTACTCCACAGTTAATAACTTTATTACTTTTTCATTAGAAAAGTGATTATTTACTTCAAAGTGTACCTTAATTAATTGATTTATATTATCCCTCATTTCAGAAAGAATTCCAAGTGGCTTACAGGAAATGTTACAATGAGATAAATAAAATACAAACATGAATGGAAAAGAGAGAGGAAAAGAAGATGAAGTACAAGGAAAAGAAGCTGTAATGCACGTAGAATAATCTACATATAAATTTAAGGTAACACTTTATTCAGTCCTAAATAAAATTAGAAAATCATATTTTCCTTATGAAACAAAACTGATTCAGAATTATTTTTATTAAAATAATTCATATTTTAAATTAGATGATATCACTCTGTATGTTTAATAAAAATATATATAATTAAAGTGATCTTTAGTCTGTTATGCTTTTCCAAAGTGTAGAGAAAGTCACAGCATAGAAGATATATCATATTGACTTAAGGTTACCAGAATTTTCTTATTTTATTTTTTTTAAGTAATTGCTATACCCAGCGTGGGGCTTGAACTCACCACCCCAAGATCAAGTATACGTGCTTTCCTGACTGAGCCAACCAGTTGTCCCTTACCAGAATTTTCTTAATGAGTATGTTAACTACAGTCATGGTCAAAAATATCTGAGAACATGGAACCATTCTGTATTATAAATACTTTCAGTATTCCAATGCATTTTTCATGTTGAAATGAAAATATATGGTTTCAATATATATATTGTTCTATATTTCATACTGATTCTTTTACATGTGCACATATTTTGAATAACAAAATTCTTCTGTCAGCGAAGAATTAAGAAGAAAATGTGATGCCACCACCATAGCAATATCTTTGGGAGCACTTTACAAATTTAAATCCTCCTCACAAATAAAGACAAAAACAAATATAAAAAATAAAATTACAACCAAATGACATAAAAATTATGTTTATGGCTATACACATTACTTTTAGGTTTTAAAATTTATTTTATAAAAATAAATAATTCTAGTTTTCACTAATGTCATGAAACAAGAATAAAACTCTCCCCCAGTGGGGAATTTTAATGGAAACAATTTTAAAAGAAAGAAAGAATGAGGTTTAATTTTTTTTTCTCACCAGATATCTAATCTACTTATTCCCTTAGTTTAAAATTTTTGACATCACATACTTTGTTCTTTTTTTAAAGAATTTTTAATGTTTATTTATTTTTGAGAGAGAGAGAGACAGAGTGAGAGTGGGGGAGGGCAGAGAGAGAGAGGAGACACAGAATCTGAAGAAGACTCCAGGCTCCGAGCTGTCAGCACAGAGCCCGATGTGGGGCTCAAACTCATGGACCGCAAGATCATGAACTGAACCAAAGTCAGACACTAAACTGACTGAGCCACCCAGGTGCCCCAATTAAAAAAATTTTTTTTTAATGTTTATTGGTTTTTTTTTAATGTTTATTTTTCAGAGAGAGAGAGAGAGAGTTGGATTGCAAGATGGGGAGGGGCAGAGAGAGAGGGAGACACAGAATCCGAAGCAGGCTCCAGGCTCCGAGCTGTCAGCACAGAGCCCGACACGGAGCTCGAACCCACAGACTGTGAGATCATGACCTGAGCCGAAGTCAGACGCTTAACTGACTGAGCCACCCAGGCGCCCCCACACTTTGTTCTTTTAAATAAAACATAATTAAAAGTAGGTCTAGTCACAATAAATGAGAGAAATACATGTGTATTGAATTCTACACATGAGTTATTTCATTGTTTCTGGGTACAATGAGTAATAAGAAACTCTTATGGCACAAATCTTGCACCTATATATGAGGGCTGTACAATTCAAAGAATTTAAGTATTGTAGTGGATGACTGCCTTAAGAAATAAAAAAAAAAAAAAAGGGAAAACATAGGTTAGAGAACTGCTAATAAAAAAACAAACCCATAGTATCTATTTCTATAAGAATAGTCCTTCTGCAGAGGTAGGAAACCTGTTTGAAGTCTCAAAGGAAGTCATGCAAGATGGGTGCATGACTATGGGGGAAAGAAAGCGTGGTGTCTACATGAAATAAGCATTTAAGGGAGAATATGAAACGTAACGGGAACCAGCTCTAGCTACCGCAGGAACTTCTAAGATCAGCACTGGGCCTGATACTGAATGACCGGCTAAGGAGAAGAAAGGACTTGCTTTAAAGAACCACCTTCAGCTTCAGTTACCTTATTCCTAGAGTTTATATCAAAATAAACTAGGTTCTTGTAGGGACGTGGGAATCAGTATAAAATAAATATCCTTCATATTAGGGACTGAACAACTTTAAATTCTGTTTCATAGAAAGCTCTGGAAGTTCTACATGCGTGCATGTGTGTGTGTGTGTGTGTGTGTGTGTGTGTGTCTGTTTTAAACCACTATTACTAGGCACAGACATTATAATATCATAAGGAATTCTCTGTGAAATGTTGGATAAAGAATAGGGATAGTTAAAGTGGAAAAAGTGCAAGGTTCCCAGGAAAATTTGCCTTCTGATTGAGAGGAAAATGAATTCATTTATTTTTGGTAAGCAAATATCTTTCAAATGTCTAATCAGAGTTGCATTCAGGAGGTAAAATGAGAAAATGTTGATTTCACCAGTATAGAAAAAAAACAGTAGTGTCACTAGCTCCTCATTTCATGACGAAGGCCAAACCTAAGTGACAGGCATTTGAGAAGACGGGTTCTGAACATGACCTTGTACCACACACACTGTATGGCAGAGGACGAACCACATTTCACTAGACATATTAATTTTAAGCAGAGGTGAACCCCCTCCCCCCAATCAGTTCAGCATAAGCACACAAAAAATGTCTATAGTTATTTTTATGTTATGGAATGTTAACTTGACAATGTAAATGTTAGGACAAATAGTTACTCCATACAATGCTTCACTGCTATGGCACCATTAAATGCATGGTTTATTTACTCCAACTACAGAAACCTTCGTGAGTCGTGATTTATCATTTAAATATATCTTCAAAGATGTTGATTTCAGTTCACTGTTTCTTTATGTGGTGAAGATTGAGGAAAAAGGATATGTGACATTCAAAAACACTATCTGCATGTTTGCTAAACTTGGGAAATCAGAAAACCACACAGAAGGCTTAACTTTCAGGCATGCTTTGGGCCTCTGCATTTTCATCTGAAAGTTCTCATTTGGTCTACTTAGCCATCATACACTCACAGGAACACAACTGAATACAAACAAGCAGCAAAAGCTACTAGACATAAACCTCCTCTCCTTTCCACCCTCCTGCCTGAGCTGGCAAGAGCCTTCTGGGAGGGTGGGGTGGGGGTGGTGGCCGCTCCATCCTTGGTGGGGAAAAGCCAGGGAAGTAGTGCGTGGCAGGGGGCGGTGTCTGACATAGTTCTTAGCAGTTCGGGATGATGGTCTGAGGGAATGTCTGAGGTGGGGAATACAGCTATGTTACTAGGACAGGCCACATTAATTCTCACCAGCAGACAGTCTTCCACTGTGAGTGTGAATAAAAACCAAATATGGGATATGTTTTTGATTATCAGGATGCAAGAGGAGTTAAGGGGCGAAAGCACCTAGTAGTAATTCAGTTAAAGTGAGGGAGCCTGGTGAAGTAAGAGGGAAAGTGAATATTTCACCTGATTCTAACACATTTAATTTGTCTTTCAACTACTACACAAAGATAATTATTTCTGACAATAGAACATTCTGTTTCAGTCTCTGGTTAGGCCCCGCCATTGGATTTTTTTTTCCTCCCCCCTAGGCTTAACAAGAATCAGTCATAGCAGTAATTTCCTCTGAAAAAGAAATCCTATCAGGCCCATGTCTGGGTCTGTGGAGTTGACGGATTGCTTCTTTTTTTATAGAGCCAAATCATTTTTGTAGGAATCAGTTTTCAAGTGTATAAATTTCAGTTTGGAAATTATTTCTCGCAATATTTGCTTTCAGTAATTCTTTTTTTAACATTAATTAGCTGAATAAATCCACCAAGGAACACAAAGTGTTTCTGCAAAATAATACGATAATTTGGATTGAAAATGCGATTGGATACTGGGAAGAAATAAAAGAAACAAAAGGACCACAAAAGGAATAACTCTGTTATAGCTATTCAAATATGGGATGAAATATACTTATACTTCCTTCTGTTTGATCTAATATATCTAATTTTTCATCCCATTTTCCCTTTCTATCCCTCTATCCTCTCTCAATTTAGACAGTGTCTCCTCTGTTTATTTGTTACAAAGATTTCAGTTGTGACTCACAGAGTAAATGCCGACAGTTTACCCAAAAAACTTTCAATAACTGAGATAAATTTCAACACTAACGAAAAGTAAGCCTTTTCCTGCTAGTATGTTTTTGATCAACATGAAAGCCGCAGTCAGGCCTCTTTCGTATAGGCCAACAGATTTTCATTGCTGTGATATTTATATTTTGGTCATTTGTATTTTTATTAGGCATTTGTAAGTACAAAAATTCGATCACATGGACATACGGACCATGTTCATATAAATGTATATATATCCTTAACTAGGCTACGAAAAACGGTATTTGCCTCCTTGAGGGGAAGTTTAACAATATTTTACATCAAGAATGAACTTTAGTTCAATTATCAGTCAGGGTTGCTCTTTGAGTTGTTTGGTGGTAACAGAGTTTAATAGTGCAGATACATTACCCATTACATCCCACCATCAGATGCATTGGGAATGCACAAAAAGAGCTGTGTGTGATCAAGCAGAGAGAACACTGGCACTGGAATTCCCTGATCTTGGTTTGGGTTCTGGTTTGCCACTTAAAGCTGGTAAGGTCTTGTTGGAGTAAGCCAGTTTGTCCCTCTGGGCTCCACTTCTTAGGTGTTTAGTGGGGATAATCACTTATACCTTATAGGTATTTTGTGTGGGATCAGGTATCACAATGCACATCACTGGATTGTTATGAATTTTACTACGTGGGAGTTGAATCTGTGCCTCTGTGTGCATCTACCCCAAAGAACTCTTCCCAAGGCAAATAAGAACACAGTGGGATTGTGAGTGAACTCCGATGTTGAAAGTGGATTATCAAAATGGAAACGTAAAGTTCTAAAGTGTAGCTTTTGGAGCTTTGCCTCTAAGCTTAGCAGCAATGACAGATATAATAGTAATAACAAAGACCAAAAAATTATAGGAACTAATGATATTTTAGGGGCACCTGGGTGACTCAGGCAGTTAACCGTCTGACTTCAGCTCAGGTTGTGATCTTGCAGTTTGTGGGTTTGAGCCCCATGTTGGG